AACACTAACATTCTCTGGTTATACTTTATTACATTGGAATCGTAATCACGATCCAAGTCATCAGGTCTGATGAATTGGATCGTGATTACGATTCCAGTGTAATAATTATAACCATGGAATATTAGTGTTTGAGCCTTTTATATTATATTCTTGCACTGTCCTGGACATTGAGCGCTACCTGAATTCTATCCTCTTGATATATATATATATATATATATATATATATATATAGATATGGTATAACGGATTACCAAGATTTTCATTATTTTACATATATATATATATATATATAGAGAGAGAGAGAGGGAGAGAGACAGACAACTAATAATATCTGTCTATCTATTTACACACACATATTTAACAATGGAATTTTTTTTTTAAATCTTTTCTTACAATTGACAACTCTCCATAGATTTTGCCGATAATTCTCCGAATTTTGCCGATTCATTTTTTTTTTTTTTTTTTTTCGACCATATCTGGTCATCTTCAGAAAAGAAATGTATCTTATACTATTTAAAATTTTAATAATGATAGTGAACGTTTTTAGTGATGTCTATCAGGCTTCAGGATAAAACCGCTTTCACTGGTTTCTCACTGTTTCTCAACCGGTCTTCCCAGGAACCCTAGGGTGAGGCAAGAAATCGTTTGGGATTCTGCAAAAAACGGTGATAAATAGACGGGTATTTTTTGTCTAATTTTATATTCGTAATTTTACAATACACGTGCGACATATTGTTGGAAAATCTTTGGTTATTATAATAAAGACTTCGACCTCTTTATATTATTTAAAATTATAATAATCATAGGGACTGTATTTAGCGATGTCTGTATGGCGTCAGTGTGAACCACCTACACTGGTTAGAGGGCAGGACCATTGAGTGACTCACTCGAGCACAGTTCAAGTGTCCATATTTTATGTTTATCACGTGACCAACGATAAAATATAGGAGATATTATTAAGGGTATATAATACATTTTATGCTGGGGTTCCTTGAGACATGGAAATTAATTCAAGGGTTCCGCAAGGATATAAAACGTCAAGAAACGTTGGTCTAGGCAAATGAAATTAAACAGACTTTTTGTTGAGTAAAATAAGATTTATCCATAAGAATTTCAATATGTATATAGATTTGTCTATATCTCTGAGATAAGAATTTGTAAATATTTTAGTGGAACACATGAGCAACGACGAGGTTTTGGAGAAAATAGAAACAAAAAGGATACTTGTATCTAACATCACAAAGAGGCAGTTGTAATTTCTGTGGTACGTACTGAGGAAAGAGGGCTTGGAAAATCTGATACTCACAGGGCAGATTGAAGGAAAGCTGGAAAGAGGAAAACAGTGCGTAATATACTTGATGGGCTTTAAATGGATGGTAGAACAGAGTTTTGGAGAAGGAACAAATAGTCGAAACTTAAGAGCTACAAGGAATAGGAAGATGTGGAGGGCTATGATCGCCTCCGTCCTGAAAGGACATTACTCATAAAAGAAGATACGTCAGTGTAAACGCTTTCACTGGTTAGTGGACAGGACCTGTACGTGACGGATTCGCCCTGCATTGAGTGACTCACTCGGGTACAGGCCGCAGGAACGGTGTCCACATATTATGTTTACCACGGGAAATACGATCAATATATTAAAGTGATATATATTAATAATGGTATGTAATAATTTTTATGAAAGAGCTCCCTGGGACTTGAAAACTCATTCAGGGGTTCAACAAGCCTGAAAAGTTTTAGAAACGCTATTCTAGAAGTAAGTTGTATAGCATTTGCGTTGTTAAGATTTTTAGGTTAGAAATGATCTTTAATTCGGGTGCTATGATTGTAAAATTGATTTTAATATCAAGAGGTAAGAATGGCTTTACAGTTCAGTCATATTAAAAGATGTGCGCCTAGATTGAAATAAATTTGATTAATAGTGGATTGCTTGACTTTGATGTGAAGGGACTCCAAGATTTGCAATCTTCTTTTTTTCATTTTTAATTTATTTATTTGACTTCCTTATTTTTTTCTTCAGATACATATATGTATTATTTAAAATTATAATAATCATAGTGAACGTTTTTAGAGATTTCTATATGGCTTCAGTGTGAAACCGCCTTCACTGTTTAGTGTACAGGACCTGTACGTGACCAATTCGTGTACCATCGAGTGATTCACTCAAGTACGGTATCCATATGTTTATCACGTAAACTACGATAGAAAATATAAAAGAAATAAATATCAATAATGGTATATAATAATTTTTAATGCAGGTTGCGTTTAATTCGCACTAAGAACTTTGGAAAAGACATAGGATCGTGTCTCCTCCCCAACATTCATCTATGGGTTAAATAGTACTGTAAATATAAACACAGTAGGGCAAGGAGAGTTACATGTGGGAAGAAGGGATAGCTTCAACATTATTAAATAAAGCGTGTTGCCAAAAATTCTCGTTATTAAAACTTATAATAATCATAGTGAACGTTTTTAGCGCTTTCAATATGGCGTCAGTATGGAACCACCTTCAATATGGCGTCAGTATGGAACCCGCTTTCAGTATGGCGTCAGTATAAAACCGCTTTTACTACGTACAGGACCTGTATGTGACGAATTCGTGTATCATGTATGAACCCGCTTTCAATATGGCGTCAGTATGAACCCGATTTCAATATGGCGTCAGTATGAACCCGCTTTCAATATGGCATCATTATGAACCCGCTTTCAATATGGCATCATTATGAAACCGCTTTTACTACGTACAGGACCTGTATGTGACGGATTCGTGTATCATGTATGAACCCACTTTCAATATGGCGTCAGTATGAAACCACTTTCAATATGGCATCATTATGAAACCGCTTTCACTACATACAGACCTGTATGTGACGGATTCGTGTATCATTGAGTGACTCATTGGGGTACAGGGCGTATGCACGTTGTCCATATATTATGTTTACCACGTGAACTACGATTAAAATATAAAAAGAGATAGATATTAGTGATGGTATATAATAATTTTTATATTCCCGAGACAGACACTATTTCAAAAGATCGACAGGGATAAAAAGTTTAAAAAAAAAGAAAACGCTGATCTCAGAGTCGTAGCAGCCGAAGGGTGGTAGTTATTTATTTTATTTTTTTTACAGGGCTTTATTTTCATTTTTTCTTTCATTAATGAATCTACTGCAGGAAAACCCCCGAAAGAAGTCTTGAATCGAAAGAGACATGATTATCGAAGTGACGTTCATGTATGGCACTTCGAACTGACCGATCATCGTCTTTATTAGAATAGGTGAATTGTGTTTAAGTTCCATCCTTGACTGTTGCGTTATGTTCGCACTAAAGTCTTTGAAGAAGACATGGTTTCATGTCTTCTTCCCCAACACACATCTATGGATTAAACAGCAGTGCAAACCAGTCTATGACTGCATACTGTACGGAAAAAGATAACTTAATTCGTGGTGCATGCAAAACGAGTAAAGGAAAGGAAAGGAAAATGGAATATAGCCGCTCTAACACCTAACGGTCTTCCAGCTAGGAGAATTGGCGAGAGTGGTTGGGCATATGCAAATTTTTTGTGAGATCAGCCCGGCATAAAAAACACCACGCAAGTGAGAATAGACAGTAATCTTCTGAACGTGGTGCTGCTTTTACGAAGAGACAATTAGAAAGAGATTACTTGTGTTCGTTTCATACACAGAAAACCATGAATTCAAAGCTGTGGGGATGGTAATGGGAAATCACTCTTTTAAAAACAAAATCATGCCATTTCACAATTCATGAAGAATAGGATGCTACAAAGAGATAGGACTGCTTACGACCTGAAGATGTCGCATTTAAAAGAAAATGGAATTCTAAAAAATATATCGATAGCACTATTTACATTGTTCGGACTTCTTTATTGTCATATTCACAACGTTTCGGCCTTTCTACGCTACAGCCTTCTTCAGGCGATATTCGTTGGAATTTCGAACTGAAGACTTTATTTCGTCCACCATGGAGAGATTGATCTAGTTCCACGTGCCATCCCTTTTCTGGATATTTCAGTTTCAGTTATTCCCCTTTAGTAACCCAACGCTCCAAGTTTTTGTTCACCTCTGCTGGGGCCAGGTATTGGACTCACAACTCTTTGAGCCAAGTCACTGCATTACTTCAACCAACGCTTTTATCCACTGGTACATGTGCCCAACTCTAGTGGACGAAATTAAAGGGTTCAGTTCGAAATTCCAACGTACATCACCTGAAGAAGGCCGGAGCGTACAACAGCCAAAACGTCGTGAATATGGTAATAAAGATTAGGACAATAGTCCGAACAACGTAAATAATGTAAATAGTTACAATACATCATCTAAGAAATATAGACATATATCGATAGCACTATGTAAGGTAATAAGTGAACGTGTAAATAAATTTAATTTCCCAAAAAGCTTAGGAATTTTTATGTACTCAGCTATGGGTTAAATAACAGTAGTACTTGGTTGACAGCTAGTTTAAGGGAAAACCCATTCCGGGTTTCACATCCTGGAAAATGCAACGTGGTACCACTCCACTTTATTTCCCAGGAATTTATGGTAATTCCCAGATAATACCTAGAAAGGAAATTGTGGAGAGCTATTATTGGCTACGACCTAAGGATCTTCGAGACGAACTTGCTAGCTATTGCCCACGCACGAGCACACAGGTCATGAAACGTTCAGGTCTCACCTCGTCTTGAAATGAGTCAATTACAGTATTAAGTACTCTTTTTTTTATATACTGGCGCTATTTTAAGAGTGGGTGACCCTGTACTGTGGAGAAACAGAGACGAGCAAACAAATGCTGTAGTCGCACGCCCTAACGTTGGAATCGTGCCGTGTGTGGCCGAGTGACTTTTGGAATTAAGTCGGGGTTGAAGTCATGGCAGGACGACAAGTCGTCCGGCTCTGCGTTATTTGTCTCCAATCCTCTTACGAGCGAGTCTTGATCTCGATTTCTCACATGTTTTCTGATCAGGGGATTTAGAAAAATGTATCAACATGGCAAAATATCAGAGAAGGTCTTTCGCCATACGTCTATCAATACTGATTCTATATGTCGCTTATTTTTCTTTGAAACCGGCATTATTTAGGCCTTCTGTTAATATCTCGCTACTTCATTCTGTTCCTCTCCAACTTTATCTCTCTCGCTACCACTCCTCTCTCTCTCTCATACCTACCGCTCCTCTCTCTCTCTCTACCTACCCAACTCCTCTCTCTCTCGCTACCCTCCTCTCTCTCTCTCCCACCTACCGCTCTCTCTCTCTCTCCACCCACCGCTCCTCTCTCTCTCTCAACCTACCGCCCTCTCTCTCTCTCTCTCCACCTACCGCTCCTCTCTCTCTCTCTCTCCACCTACCGCTCTCTCTCTCTCTCTCGCTACCTACCGCTCCTCTCTCTCTCTCGCTACCTACCGCTCCTCTCTCTCTCTCGCTACCTACCGCTCCTCTCTCTCTCTCACCACCTACCGCTCCTCTCTTTCTCTCTCTCCTCTTCAATCACTTCTCTCCCCACTTTCTTATCCGAGTCTCTCCCATCGATTCCTCCACTCTGAGTCTCTCCTATCGATTCCCTTTGCCCTCTCTTTCTCTCTACTTTGCCCTCTGCTCACCATCTCTCTCTCTTTGCTCCCTACTTTTTATATATTCGCTTTATCTAAATAAACGTGTCTTATCACTCAAGGAAAACCCTTTTTAAGCCAAGTGTGACATACCAAATTGGTCACGGGAAACCATCGTGACAAAGCGAAGTTCAGTTAACCTATTTAAAAATTGCACTTCTTTTCGCCTGTGCCTCCTGACCTTCTTTTCGTAACTGAAATTCAAGTCCATACAGATTGAATGTGGAATTCAAAATTCCACTAATTGCTTTAAACTTTTATATATATATATATATATAAATCATAAAATAATTTTTTAGGTAAGCGGTATGTGAGAAAATGTTCAATAAGCAGTGTAGGCATAGGTATCTACGCTGGATGGTTACAGACTGTTCCCTGTTTAAATCCTGAGACCATGTCCACATGATTTATGCATATATACTGAAAACATTATTAAGCATATATAAAAAAAAAATATCCTGTCATGGGAAAGGAAAACAACTTGTTTGTTTTGGGTCGCTCTTTCCGGGTGCCGGATGCCGTGCGAATACCAGCAATTTTCTTTTATTTTTATACACGCCCCTCTAACATCTGCCTATATTTCTGAGATGAGGTATCGTAACTATTTACACTATTTACATTGTTCGGATTGGCCTAGTGGATAAAAGCGTTGCTTGAACAAGTTCAAAAGTGACTTGAACCAAAGAATTGGGATTTCAGGATCTAGCCACAACAAAATTTGGAGAGTTGAGTTCCTAAAAGAAATTCATTGAAACTGAGACCTCCAGAAAGGGCATAGCATGTGGAACTAGAATAATCTATCCCATGTGGACGAAGTAAAGGGTTAGGTTTAAAATTCCAACGTGTATAACCTGAAGAAGGCCGGAGCGTACAACAGCCGAAACGTTGTGAATATTATAATAAAGATTGGGATAACAGTCCGAATAATGTAAATAGCGCACATAATTAAAATACCTCTTCTCGGATAGACAGATCCTGAAGAAGGTCGGAGCGAACAAAGTCGAAACGTCATGAATAAGGTAATGAAAATGAGGACAACCGTCCGAAAGATGTAAATCGTTACAATACTTCATCTCAGAAATATAAACAGATCCTGAAGAAGACCGTACGTTACAACGGTCGAAACGTCGTGAATGTCGTAATAAAGATGGGGATAACAGCCCGAACGATGTAAATAGTGTAAATAAGCCTCTTCGAAATTGCGTGTACGTTCATCGATTAACTCCTATAACGAATACATCTTCGCAAAGAAATTTATTAAAATTACATTAACCCACTAACCTATCTCTCTCTCTCTATATATATATATATATATATATATATATATATAATGAGAAAATACATAGAAAATAGGAAGGAACTGGTTAGGTAAACAATCCAAAGTCCCTTAGTATTTTAGTTGTTATTTTTAAAAAATATTGATCGATACAAAAGTAGAGCATAAATATAATTATTTATTTTAAAATATGATTCCAAAGCGCGACATAAGAAGTCTCATGGTTCAAAAACAAGAGCCGAAAACTTCAATATAATTATTTGAATTCAAATAATTATATATATATATATATATATATATATATATATATATATATATATATATATATATATATATATCTTTGAATGACAATTTACATTGTCTTTTGCCAATTAATATTATTCCTTACAATTACGTTAGCGTTTTAAGATATTTTCAATGCTTAAAATAAGAATGAGCAAGCCGGTAGACGTAAAACAAACTGTTTTAAAGAACGGAGCGTCTACTTCAATACGGTTACCCGCTAACGTTTCAATATATACGAGGATCAGTAAAAAGTTCAAGCGTACCGAATAGAACAGCTCGTCGATCAGCTGTTGTATTCTGGTACACTTGCACGACTTTTAGCGTACCAAATATTGTGTCGACTTTGATTTATATCTTGGCCAGTGATATGAGCCTTCCAGGCGACATTTTGTGTGTTTATATATATATATATATATAATAAAAGACTCAAACACTAATATTCCATGGTTATAATTTATTACATTAGAATCGTAATCACGATCCAATTCATCAGACCTACAAATTCAAGGATGAATTGGATCGTGATTACGGTTCCAATGTAATAAATTATAACCATAGAATGTTAGTGTTTGAGCCTTTTTTTTTTATTATATCCTTACTCTGTCCTGGACATTGAGTTCTACCTGGATTCTATCCTCTTGGGAATTTACATACATACATACATACATATATATATATATATATATGATTATATATATATATAATCATCTATCTATCTATCTATATAATCATCTATCTATCTCTCTCTCTCTCTCTCTATATATATATATATATATATATATATATATATATAATGAATATTATCTATCTATCTATCTCTATATACAGTGTAACCCGGATATAAGAGAGTTGTCGGGACCGGAGAAGAAGTCTCTTATATCCGGGTTTGGTCTATTTTATATACATTAATACAGGCTCTAATTTGGGACCAGAGAAAATCTCTCTTATATCCGGGTTACGCTATATATATATATATATATATATATATTATGAATATTATCTCTCTATCTATCTCTCTATCTATCTATCTATATATATATATATATATATTATGAATATTATCTCTCTATTTATCTATATATATATATATATATATATATTGAATATTATCTCCTCTCTCTCTCTATCTATATATATATATATATATATATATATATTGAATATTATCTCCCTCTCTCTCTCTCTCTCTCTCTATATATATATATATATATATATATATATATATATATATTAACCACTAATATTATCATATATATATATTGTGTGTGTATAATGAGAGAGAGACAAGTACCTTTCTGTGAAATATACAACCCTGAATTGTTTACTTATATTACTTTCAGTCTCACTGTGTAATATTCTTTTTATCCACACATTTTAAAATAAAGTTACATAAAAATGGAAACAACGAAAATTTTCTGTAGACATTCTGACATCCCTTATGGATAATAACACTATAATGAACCTTCAGGTTATAATCACATCTGGTATTTAAATATATTTGAGTGAGAGAAAGAGACTGGCTGTATATGTGCGTGTACACGTGAAAAATCTATATAAATAATAATTTCCTGATCTTTGATGGATATACATATATGTATACCCAGCCATTTTATCGTCTCCGGCTCTGGATTTATTTATTGATTGATTATTATTTGATTAATTTTTTTTTAAATATTGTCGCCCTGGTTAGGATTTTAAGGGTTAGCCTTAAAATCCCAGAACTAAACGTGTTTTGGTAAGTGTTATTGATTTTTGCTATCATATATCTCTATCTCTCTTCATCTTCATCTCTCTCTCTCTCTCTTCATCTTCATCTCTCTCTCTCTCTCTTCATCTCTCTCTACATATATATATATATATATATATATACACATACATACTCCTGAGAACGGTCGTTTTCTATTATTGAGACCTGAGTTCAAATCTCACCATGGTCGATTTAGAGGTGTTTCTTTTTCTTTCATTTTTCTTTCTTAACAATTTTACTTTACAGGCTAACCAAGACAACGAAGCTGCTGACACTAAGGGGTTACTGAGTGTGAAAGAATGTAAGGCAATAAAAGAACAGACATTAAGATGGCTTCTAGAGTGTCTGAAAACCAGACCGTCACTTGGACAAACCAAGACTTGCGAAAACTGGATAGCACAAATTTAAGTCATTGTGACTGAGGGTTTGAGCGTATGACCTGGCTTTTTTCAAAGTGTTGATAATGCGAGATTATATGCTCTCCTTCAGAAACCGTAACTAAGGTCCGCTAAGGTTTAATCTGTAATGGGGATTTGAGACAGAAACTTTTAGCCGACCATTCTTTATTTGCAACTTTCTTTATTCTTTCCACTGCTTTTTCTTTGCTCTACCATTCGTCCTTGCTTTGATTATTACTGTCACATATGATCTGGTGCTCTTTCTATTTATTCTTGGTAAAATCCATTCAATCTGCAATGTTATCTATCCATCTCGTTCCGTTCCTATCTGTCTGTCCATCTCGTTCCGTTCCTATCTGTCTGTCCATCTCGTTCCGTTCCTATCTGTCTGTCCATCTCGTTCCGTTCCTATCTGTCTGTCCATCTCGTTCCGTTTCTATCTGTCTATCTCGTTCCGTTCCTATTCGTCTGTCTGTCTCTGTTCCGTTCTATCTGTCTGTCTGTCTCGTTCCGTTCCTATCTGTCTGTCTGTCTCGTTCCGTTCCTATCTGTCTGTCTGTCTCGTTCCGTTCCTATTTGTCTGTCTGTTCCGTTCGTCCTATCTTCCTATCTGTCTGTCTCGTTCCGTTCCTATCTGTCTGTCTGTCTCGTTCCGTTCCTATCTGTCTGTCTGTCTCGTTCCGTTCCTATCTGTCTGTCTGTCTCGTTCCGTTCCTATCTGTCTGTCTGTCTCGTTCCGTTCCTATCTGTCTGTCTGTCTCGTTCCGTTCCTATCTGTCTGTCTGTCTCGTTCCGTTCCTATCTGTCTGTCTGTCTCGTTCCGTTCCTATCTGTCTGTCTGTCTCGTTCGTTCCTATCTGTCTGTCTGTCTCGTTCCGTTCCTATTCTGTCTGTCTGTCTCGTTCCGTTCCTATCTGTCTGTCTGTCTCGTTCCGTTCCTATCTGTCTGTCTGTCTCGTTCCGTTCCTCATCTGTCTGTCTCGTTCCGTTCCGTTCCTATTCCGTTCCTCTGTCTGTCTGTTCCCGTTCCTATCTCTGTCTCCGTTCCGTTCCTATCTGTCTGTCTGTCTCATTCTGTTCCTCAGGTCTGTCCTCGTTCCTTCCTCTGTCTGTCTGTCTCGTTCCGTTCCTATCTGTCTGTCTGTCTGTCTCGTTCCGTTCCTATCTGTCTGTCTGTCCATCTCGTTCCGTTCCTATCTGTCTGTCTGTCCATCTCGTTCCGTTCCTATCTGTCTGTCCGTCTCGTTCCGTTCCTATCTGTCTGTCTGTCTCGTTCCGTTCCTATCTGTCTGTCCGTCTCGTTCCGTTCCTATCTGTCTGTCCGTCTCGTTCCGTTCCTATCTGTCTGTCCGTCTCGTTCCGTTCCTATCTGTCTGTCCGTCTCGTTCCGTTCCTATCTGTCTGTCTGTCTGTCGATCTCGTTCCGTTCCTATCTGTCTGTCTATCTGTCGATCTCGTTCCGTTCCTATCTGTCTGTCTGTCTGTCGATCTCGTTCCGTTCCTATCTGTCTGTCTGTCTGTCGATCTCGTTCCGTTCCTATCTGTCTGTCTATCTGTCCATCTGTCCATCTCGTTCCGTTCCTATCTGTCTATCTGTCCATCTCGTTCCGTTCATATCTGTCTATCTGTCCATCTCGTTCCGTTCATATCTGTCTGTCTATCTGTCCATCTCGTTCCCTTCATATCCATCTATCGAATTAACTTTGAGCTAATAGCTAGGTTAAAAATATACATACGTGTTGATGAATTAGGCATTATTTTCGTGATTTGTGTGTGTGTATATTTTTTTTCTGACAGCAGTCACATCTGTGAATATTATTCCTGCACAAGGAGAAAGATAAATAAATGTAATAGATATAAAATCTATACACAATTTATTAAGGCGCACACACACGCACACACACACACACGTATATATATATATATAATGAATCATTCATACAAATTTCATGTAATGTAAATTGAACTGCACCACATAGATTATATATATATATATATATATATATATATATATATATATATATAAAACTTATATATATAATATTTTTTGCTAAGCTATCACAAATGGTTAATTCATCTTCATTGTTTGACGTCATTGCGTCTGTTGATGTAGTAGAAATAGAATTTTAGAGTGTGGTAAGTTGCTAAATAAAATCCCATGTTGAATACAATATTAATTTCTTTGGTTTAATCTTAAGGAAATATTGACCTTGGTGATACTGAAAAAAATGTATATATAGATATTTATATGAGCAATACGATTTCAAAACTTTCAAAAACTTATAAGATACACCTTCATTTTGTAAGCCATGGGTAAAATTCATATATATATATATATATATAAAGTTTATTTACAGTGTACAAATTCTGCAGATATCTATACAGATGACTCTCTTTCTCCACCGACAATGTTAGGTATGCTATTAATTTTCTCGAATTTGGTTATAAATCTCCTCCACCCTTTTTCACCCTCCGCCATACCCCATAGATACACATGCAGAGAATTAGATTTACTCATAATATACATATTCAATAGCGGGTAGTTTATTGATTGCTTTGTCGATAACTACAAGTCGTTCACATCTTAACAGAGATCTGTTATCGATTTCGGTAGCTGCGTCTCCATCTGTCCACGCGTTAGAATTAACAATCACGTTTACATAACTCGTGTGATATAAATATATATATATATATATATATATATATATATACTGATTTTTGGGTTTAGCATGTAACAGACTGTCGCCTCTGGGTGTTGACTTTAATGTCCACATATGTGGGATGGGGGAGGGCTTGTAAGATGCGCAATAGTAAGCGAGACATATTGGACAAATTATTAACGACGCGTTTCACCGCAGAGCGTAGGCTCTCTTTGACTGAATTAGGTATGAATGAAAGAAATACAAGCTGTGTATGTGGAAAATGACTTCGTATCCCTGAGGATAACTTACGGAAAAAACAAAACAAAAAAAACTTCCCTGATTTAAAATACAATAACTCCGATAGAGATAAAACAATCAGTCTCTCTCTCTCTAGTCTGGACATTGGGAGTTGATAAGCTAAGGTAATTTAATTTGATTTACGATTCCCACTTAACGTAATTTCCATGTAACGTAAATGGTCTTCTATATTGTCGATATCGAGTGGCTGACGCTTTACAATCTTCTAAATATATATTCTAACAAATCACAATTAGGTTGCTTTCTAAGCAAAACCAACCAAAGATCCCGAATTGAAGGTTAGTTAAGCTCTTTCATAATAAGGAAAAATGTTTGGAAGAATATTTATTAGAAAGTAAAGCGATCGAGGTTAAATTTTGAATGAAACTCTATTTTAAACTTTGAAAATATATAGAAAATTTTTTTTCTAACTGACAGAAAGTAATATAATTTAGAAAATTGTCGATATTTATTTTCCTTCAAAATCTACAAACGTTGTGTTTTTATAAATAAATATATATATATATATATATATATATATATATAATGGTCAAAATGATAAACGCATTATTTTAACAACCGAAAAAAGACTAACCGTTAAAAAAAATGAATGACAAAATGTAAAAAGGACTAAATTTGTTACAAGTAAACATTTTCCACTTTGTCAAATTTTTACCCAGTAACTTTCTTGATATATAAAGATATATAGTTATTTCTTTCTCTATCTATCTATATATATACACACACACACTCAAGGTGCGATAGATGAATTATCTAAATTATACAAAAATGAAAATAACACTGACATCTCATTTTAACAGATAGATTTACCAAAATTACATAAAAAATATCTTGAATTACTAAAGACCAAATTTATTTGATAAATAACTGGCTTCAACCACGGCTTCCAGACGACTCTGGAATCTCTTACAACTATTCTGGACATTTTTTTTTTGTTGAAGTTGCCGAATTCTGCCATAGTCCTTGCCTTCAGTTCACCTTTGGTGCTAAAAGTAACTTTGTTGGTCTCTCACTCGACGAAACCCCACCCATAATAATCAAGGGCGTTAGAGTCTAGGGAGATATGTGGCCAGATGTAATGAGTGATGTCGTCGAAGAAATTGTCTGACAATTATGACTGGGTTCTCCTGCATGTGTGTCATGGTGCAGAGTCCATGTTGCCAGACAAGGTATGTCAACATCCACCCTATTGTCCCAGGGCAGTGCTACCTCCTCAAGGTACCTGATGTAGGCCTCTGTGTTCAGTCTGAGGCCCTGTGGGAAGATGAATGGTGGCATAACGTCATTGTCAATAGTAATCACTCCAAGCACTTTCGTAATCACCATTAGACTCTGCTCTGTCGAGAGATTGTCACCCAAACACTCTGAAATGTTCGTATTGGAGCTTTCGGCGCGAATGACAAAGAGTACAGTATGCTGTTTCCAAATTTCCGGCGGAATGAATTGCATCATGGTGCTCTTCTCCTCACAGATGGTGCCCAACTGACCCTACTATATTGTGCAGTCGACAAAATCAAAAACAAACAAGGCGCACGCGCGAAACTAAAAATATAAAATGGCGACAATTTACCCATCGCACCATGTGTTTATATACGCACACGCACACACATATATAGTTTTCTCACTAAAGAGTCGATCTGAAAAACTCAAAAGTTTATCTATATATATATACTTAATATACACGCACATATTATCACGTTAATTAACTTACATTTAATTAAGCCCTTTTACAATAAAGCAAAATTAATGTCTCCATTTTTACTAAAAAAAATACTTGATTTTTAAGTTCAAATGATGTCATATTTGAAGCGTATAAAATGTTTCGGTAACAAAGAAAAAATTCAAGATACACAATGCAATAGCTTGATTCTAATATAAATAAGCATGCATATATATATATATATATATATATATATATATATATATAGTTTGAGGTGTGGTATATTTATGGGATAAAGTGCTTTAAATCAGACATAGGGCGTATGTAAATATAAATATAAAAGTGAACATTGAAGTCAACACTTAGAGGCGACAGGCTGTTTCAATCGTCAGGCGGCCTGACTCCCGCCTCTGAGTGTTGATTTCAATGCTCATTTTATATATATATATATATATATATATATATTCCAAATAGGTTGGTTGAATGATATCTACATGTTCTGTCTATTCGATCTTTAACTTTGTCAAATGTCCGAATTGTTGGTTTTATCTTGTAGCTAAATTTACCGAAATTCAAACTTCGTTATTTCATTAGCTCCCACATCTCACCGTGTATTTTTCGAATGTTACTAGATTAATATTCAAGGGTTGCGATTTGTGTATTTTAAGTGACTGTTTTGTAACTTGCACAATTCCTGAAAATGAATGTGGCAACATTCGAAAGTTACTGCGGCGGTGCGGTAAGGGGGGGTCGGTGTAATAAAATAAAAATGAATATGGACTTTGGTAAATTTACTGATAAAATAAAACAACTAATTGGGAAAATATTAAAAAATAACTGAATAGACAGAACTTACCGATATTATTCAACCAAACGTGTTTGAAAGAATACTTGCTACTGAAATACTAATATATATATATATATATATATATATATATATATATATATATATATATATATATATATATATATATATATATTCTCACCGGTCGTGGAATAATATGGATATTAATTAATATATACTTAATAGCTAAATAGTATAGCACGTCAGGCTATATGGTGGCACCGTATAGGATGCAGGTTCGATTCCTGTCAGAGGAATTTTCTATTAAATTTCTCGGGTATTCAGGCCGGTAAATGTAGTTAATACTGTTTATTATAAACACAGAATTTACTTAAATATTTGTATCTATAAAATAACGTATAAACAGAAAATATATTCAAATAATTGTCGGACTTAGTCCGTTTCATTTGATATATATATATCGCAAACTGAGTGTTGGTATTAATAAAAATGTTCGATGTAATATAACAGAGCGATTAAGTATCTATTAATAAATATAGATATTTAAATACATTCTGTATGCAACAAATACATTCTGTATGCCTGATCGAAACGTAAAAAATAATTTTTTTTTAAGAAAAGTACGCACACACATATAGGTTATAAAATATATATATATATATATAAAAGCTTTTATATATATATATATAGATAAACGGTTTTATCTATATATATATATATAAAACTTTTTTTGTCTAAATTGAAGCACGATCGTGCAATTTAATCAGAAGGTTAATAACTTAATATATAATAAATATCAATTTTATTGTCAATTTTGGTATCATTTTTGTTGCTTTTATTCATCTAATTTTATTAACTGGCCTATTATATATATATATATATATATATATATATATATATATATATATATATATATATATATATATATATATATATATGTGTGCAACAGCGTTACATTGTTTAATTTAATGAACAGTCCAATTTAGAGTCAGACTGTGCCACTTTTCTAATATGCCCAGGGCTACTCGGTTTTCAATTTTACAACTTAATACATTTCGGGCTATTTTTGAAGACCGACTTGTGTCATTCAAGACGACAAATCCTCATCAAACTTTCGTATCACCGAGCTTTCAAATCACACTCAATTCGTTACTTGGAGCCCAATCTGGCAACACTAGCGTAGACAAATGAAAAGACATACGTATAAATTTTCCTCACTTCATCGTAACTACGGTTAATATTTTAAAATCTAAATCGACGTGCATAATAACAAATA